CAGCAGCCCGCCCAGCCCCGGGGGCTCACCAGGGGTGCGTACTCCACGTCGTCCCCCAGCAGCCCTGTGTCGTTGAGGGTGTATTTGGCTTTCTTCTGCACAGCATCCACCGGCCCCTTCTCCACCTGATGCTTGATGGCCTTGAAGAGCTTGTACAGCGGCTCCCCTGCGCTGTCCTACAGCAACACGGGGCGGCTGAGCCACGGTGGGACTGATCGTGCCAGGGTGGGAGCAAACCCGTCCAGGTGGAGCTGGGCCGCAGGGAGGTGGACATTCGGGGGGTACAGCACCACCTCGTCCCTCCCCACCCCCTGGCAGGGCTGTGTGGAGCCCACCTTGAGATACTGGTACAGGCAGATGGACATCCAATTAGACAGCATCCTCTCCACCACTGTCTCAGACCTGGAGATGCAGAAAGGCCTTGTGTTGAGGGGCCCTTTAGTGCCCCTAGGATCAGCTGGCTCTTCCAAGTACCCAGACCACGCTCAGAGCAGCCCAGTCTCCGTCAGTCTGTACATTTACTGCCTGCAGTGACCAATCTCCCAGCCCCCTCAGGGTGGGCCTTTCATCTTCCACCCCATCCTACAAAGGGCTGATGAGAAGGGGGAGCAGATAAGTGGCCAGCACAGACCACCTGCCAGCAGCGATGCCCCCCCGTCATCCCTCTGCCCTACTCACTGGCACTGGCTGTACTTGCTGGCAAACCAGGTGCCTGGACAAGCCTGTGCTGCCCCACTGCCACCCCCTAACACCCCCCACCGCGGCCTCTGCCCTTCCCCACACACCTGCGCAGCATCAGCTTGGGGTTCTTGGCCACCACATACTGCTCCATGAGCTCCAGGAAGAGCGTGCGCATGATGTCCGTGTAGTACTCCAGCTTCCCGTGCAGCGCCACCGTCAGCAGCGACGCAAAGTAGACCTTGGCGCGGGCCGAGAACTCCCGCTGGTTCTCCAAAGTGTGAATGAACTGTGGGGGAGGCCGGTCAGAGCCCCGCCCCGCCCCGCCCCCTCGCTCCAGAGGCCCCGCCCCTCACGGCCCCGCCCCACGCCCCAGAGGCCCCGCCCCGCTCACGTTGATGAGGAAGCACTTGCTGTTGAGCAGGTTGGAGAACTGGTAGAGCGCCTGCTCCACCAAGGGCCGCCGTGACTCAGGGATGTCCAGCTTGCCCGTGATCATCACGTCCTTGTCGCCGTCCTTGGAGGGCAGGAAGAAGACGCGGTCGGTGTAGGTCTTGTAGTCCAGCACGGGGATGCCTGCCTCGTGCACGTCGTTGGTCTGGTCCTCCATCTCAATCATCAGGTCTGCAGGGAGGTCGTGGTGAGGCATCCGCCCACCGGCAGCCCCCCTCCTCCGTCCCTCCCAATGCAGCCTCTTCCGAGCCCTCCTCCCCCGGGACCTGCAGGACGGCCCCGACCTGTGAACTCCTTCTTGCAGCGGTCACGCACGCTCTCCTCCAAGCCCTCCAGCTGGGACTTGATCTTCTCGTACTCGCGCTCTGCCTGTTGGCTCTTCCTCCTGGGGGCACAGGGAAGCTCCTGGGACCTGGCCTGGATTGTGCTGGCCGGTGGGTGTGGCCAAGGGGCTGAGGCTGCCGGGGGAGAGGCTCACCAGTAGCAGTAGACAGACACGGCGATGACGGCCACCATGGGCACGATGACCAGCGGCAGGATGAGGCTGAGCGGCACGTCACTCACACGCGTGTCATACTCCACGCGGCCCAGCACCCACTCCCGGGAGCCAAACTTCACCTGCGTGGAGAGGCGGAGTCAGCAAGGACAGGTGCGTGGCCGAGACCACGAGAGCCCGGTGCCCTGTCCCCTCCCTGCCCCCACCCTACACGCACAATGAACTCAGGCAGGTTGTGGGTCGTGTCCCGCTTCTGCCGCCGCTTGGGAGGGGGCTGCACCTCTGGGGGCTCACAGTACAGATCGGTCTCCGTCAGGGTCTTCATGACGCACCGCTCGGCACCCACGAAGGCCTCGGCCTCGTGAATCGTCATCGCCTTGTTCAGATTGGTGCCCTGGGGGGCGGGGGATGGGGCCACAGTGCCCAGGAGGGGTTCAGGGATGCCCCGACCAGCTCAGCCCAGACCTTGGGCTGCTCCCCTACATGCACCCGCTCAGGACCTGACCCCGGGGCTGCACTGGTCCTCACCCGCGCGTGAATGAGCTTGTTGACCTGCTTCTTGACGCCCCCTGTGAAGTTCTCGAAGGTGGGGTCGGCGACGTACTCAAAGGCACCAGCCTCAGTCCTGAGCAGGGCTTGGTGCCCATCCATCTGAATGAGCGCCGTGAGGTTGTAGGCCTCGGGCTCCTCGGGGACGGCCGGGGACAAGAACACAACCTTGGAGTCACTGCAGAACACGTACTCCCTGCCCACGACCTAAAAGCCGAGGCAGGACCGTTAGGCCACTTGGCACAGGCTGCATCCTGCCCTGGCGTGTCCCCAGCAGCGGGCGCCGACTGACCGTCACGGGCTGCAGGGCTCCGGCCTCCCGCCGCCGCCTCCAGGACTGCAGGGGCTCGGCTATGACCACCATGGCGAATTTCTGGATCAGGCTGAAGCCCTGTCCTGTGACGTTGATGCTCCGGCCACCACTGGGGGGCAGGGAGGGGGATGGTGCCTGAGTGGGCACACCTGGGCAAGGGAGGTGCCCAGCCAGCTCCAGAGCAGGTGGCCTGCAAGGCTGTGTCCCCGCCCCCACCCTGCTTTTGGATACCCTTGCAGGTGTGTGCAAGGTGTGTGCAAGCCCAGACCTGCTGCAATGGCAGGGGCGGGGGGTGGGGTGGGGTGTGTGTGCTCAGAGCACGTGACTGAGCACCGCCACCCTGGACTGTCAGAAGCAGGGCTGGGCTGGGTGGCGGGGGGAGGTGGAGGCGGGATGTCGGGCCTGCCCGACCTGGGGGTACAGTGGGGATTTTTGGAGGCCTCCTCCTGTCACCCAGACCAGCTCTGCCATATCCTCACAAGCCCAGTGAGAAGAGGGCACCTGCGAAATAGCTAGATGGGGTGGGTGTGGCCAGCAGTGTGGGAGTGGGGGGCACCTGCCACGGGGGGGGGGGGGGGAAGAGGTCTCACCTGACAAAGCTTCGCAGCGGCTCGAAGGCCCGCAGGACTGGGTTCTCACGGTAGGTGAAGGTGACGCCAGGGCTGGGCACTTCGGAGCCCCCATAGTAAATTTTCAGGGGCAGCTCTCCCGGAGCCGCCTGGGGGCCGGTGACACACTGAAGCTGTGCCCCAAACTGCGTCCTGGGGGTGGGGATCGCCAGTCAATGCCAGCCCCACCCTGGGACCGCCCGCAGCCCCAGGCCAGTGGGTCAGTGGGTCTGGTTGGTTCCACTGCCCCCTCCAGGATAGACACAGGGTCACGGCCAGAGGGCCCTCACCCTGTCCCCAGGACCAGGGCAGACCAGGATTTGGCGGCCTGTGGGTGACACCCACACTTTACAAGGGATGTCATTGAGGGTCACCCGCATGTCTTCCTCAGAGCCTGTGTCCAGGTGGGTACCATTGATGGTCAACATGGTGCCGCCCGCCTGTGGCCCCTGCTTTGGCTCCACACTGAGGGGCTGGGGCTGCTAGAAGAGAAAAGCAGGGACATTTGACTCAGGGCTGGGGCGGCAGGGCTGGGGCGGCAGGGCTGCGGCCCTCCCTCCCGGGCCTCGACTGGGCCATGACCGTTGTCAGAAAGAGGCAGGGGCACAGCCTCGCCTCACCCCGAGTCAGCGCATGGCCCCCCAGATCCCACCCACATTTGTCCTGACCTGCAAGAGCCACCTGCCGGGCGCTTACCTGATAGGTGAATTGGACATGGGGAGGCGAATGGCCGAGCTTCCCGCTGATGTCCACCTCGACGCCCCCCGTGAAGGGCGCCTCTGCAGCCTCGATGGTGCACACGATCCTGCATGGGTGGCAGGCAGGTGGGCACACTCTGTGTGTGTGCAAGCCCTGGGCACCCACGCATACCTGCACCGTGTCCTTCCTCTCCATCCCCCCAGTCCCCCGGCCCCCCAGGGTAGGGCCTGGCCCAGCTCGGAGGGCCCAGGTTGCCCACTCACCGGGTGGACACGGAGTAGCGTTCTGGCTCAAAGGCACAGTTCCGGCCAGCCACGGTGACCCTCTTCACGTCGTCTGCTCTGACCCCCAGATTTGACCCAAGGATGGTGACGCGAATGCCTCCGCCGAGCGGACCGGTCTCAGGCTGGATCTGAAATTGGCAGAGCCCGGCTGACCTGGTGGCTGGGGCAGGCCAGGCTGCGCAGCTGGTCCCGGGCCGGGCTGGAGTCCCTCCTGCCAGGGAGGTCAGGGGTAAGGGGGCTTACCCTGGTGATGACGGGCGGTGGGCACTCGGAGGTGGCGTTACCACACAGGGCCGCGTACACACACCTGTTCTGCCCGCTGCACCACACGCACCTGTAGACAGGGTCAGCGGCCAGGCACAGGCTGCAGTCGCTGCGGCCGAAGGAGCAGTTGTAGAGGGTCACTGCGGAGGGAGAAGCTGGCTGTCAGCAGGGCCGCCCTGCTGCCCTTGCCCGCCCACCAGCCCAGCTGCCCACCCCACCCACCTTGGAGCCGGCTGTCAATATTCTTGCCGTAGGACTTGACATACAGATGCAGGGGCAGCGTCTCGTTGGCATCGTGGGAGAGCTGGGGGCACACAGGGACACGCTGCACCCCCGCCTCCCACCCGAGCCCCCGAGAGTGACCACCGTGTGTCCCCTCACAGCTGACGGGCAGCAAGGGGAGGCCTCCAGGTGGCTAGAAGCTGGAGGCTCAGAGACTGAGGATGACTTGGATTCCAGGGAGACGGGAGGCCCAGGGATGCTCTGAGGCCACACCTGCCTGCCGGCCCCGCTTCCCCAGAAGGGCAGCTGGTGAGCCTGCCCCCGCCCCACCCCTCAAGCCCCGGAGGTAATTGGGCAGCCCCCGCAGGGCCAGCCCTCGGGGTCCACCAGCCTGGCCCACCCACCCCGGGAGGCGTACCTTTGGGGTCCGAAAGGAGAAGGTTCCTTGCTCCTGTGTGCTGACTGGCTCCTCAAACTTGAGCAGGTCACTGCCCACGCGCAGGGAGGAGCTCTGCCAGACAGGCCAGTCAGGATACCCGAGGCGGGCCAGCGCGTCCCACATGCCCGCCCTGGGCCCCGGGGCCTGCCGTGCCCCACACAGCTCCCGGGCCAGCTTGGGCGCCCCCATCCCGACTGACACCCAGCCGCTCACAGACAGGCCCCGCCACGGTCAACACCCAGACTCACCGCCCTGCTCCCTCCTGAGTGGCACTTGGCTGCCCAGCCCCTGCACGCCCTAAACCCTCGAGGCCCGTCCAGATGTCCCCACGTCCACCCTCTGACCCCTCTGCCTTCCTCACGTGCTGGGCCCTGAGCCGCAGAAGGCTGGATGGGCCCCGGCGCTTAGCTTCTGGTCTGCAGGAGGACGGCTCTGAACAAGCCTGTGCCTCCCCACCAGCCATCACGGCCCCTGCTGGGACCCCCAGACCTGGCCTCACTGGTTAGCCAGGGCCCCACAAGCCCCCCGCACCTTCACCGTGTCCAGGTTCTTGCCCTGGAAGGTCACCGCCGTCTCGTGGTTCATGGGAATGACCAGCGGGCTGGGGTTCAAGAACTGGGGGCAGTCGTCCTCCTGGGGGGGCAGGGCTGGTCAGGTGCTGCTGGCGTCGGCCGAGCAGCCTGGCCCACGTGCCCTCACGGCCCCTCACCATGTGGGCACGGACGATGCCGTCCTCAGGGTTGGGCGAGGCCTCCCGACACTCGTGGTAGCGCAGGTCCCACTGGCAGGTCCAGCGGTTGCTGGCACAGGAGATGCACCTGGAGGAGAGGGTGGTGAGAAGTGTGGGGTCCGCAGCGGGGGCTGGGAGGGACAGGCAGGGGCACTCACGGCAGGTTCTCCTCCAGGCTCATGGCCACTCGGCAGTCGTAGAAGGGGTACAGGTGGGAGGTCAGGAAGACGTTGCCGCGTTTGAAGAGAAGCTGGATGGTCACAGCCACGTGATCTGTGGACAGCAGATGGGGCCAGCGTCAGGCGGGGCCGCAGGGGGAGGCGGGCTTGGGCTGGGGGGAACAGGAAGCCGGAACTGGGCCCCCCCCGGCCCCAACTCCTCCTTCCATCAGAGCTCCCCACAGGCGACCCAGCAGAGAACGGGAGGCCGTGTGTGGAGACCCTGGTCTGAGTGGGGCCCCGCAGGGCTCAGCAGGACCCGCCGCCGCTATCAGATCTCGGCTCGTGTGTCACTCCCCAGGGCTCTGCGCTGCTGGGCCCTCGCTCTGTCCCTGCAGGCACCGAGGGCCGTGGTTCCTGGGCGTCTGGGGCAGAGCACCTGCCAGGTCCCAGCCATGTCACCGCGTGGCCCCCACCTTCACCAGTGAGTCGTCCTCCGCTGCCCCAAATGCTCAGGGGACAGGCTCGGGCGGGGCCTCACCCTGGCCAGGCGGTGTGCTGGGGATGCTGCTCGGGGAGTTGCAGACCACGGCGCCCCCCTGCATGCTCGCCACGTGTGGCGGTGATTCACCGAAGAGGCACAGCAGCTTGTCCTCCTCGCTCAGGGCCGGGAGGGGACTGACGGTCAGGTGCACCTGCGGAAGGGCCACTCAGCTCACAGCAGGACTCCTCTGCCCAGCCTCAGGGTGCAGGCAACCTCCCGCCCCCGCCCTGAGCCCCAGTCCTCTGGCCATTCTCCGGCCACCCTCCTGTATGTGTACACCTGCCCCCTGGAGAACCCTCTAGAACCTGGCTCCATTTCATCTGAATGGGCCCCTCTGTGGTCACCTAAGCCACTCCTGGGACAGGGCCTGGGTCTGCCCTGGATTCTCAGAAGCCCCTCGGGTCAAAGGGGCCAGGGGACCCAACAAAGGATGGGGTCCCTGTCCCCAGGCTCAGCACCGCCGTCCAGGCCAGGAGCGAGATACTACGCGGGTCTCCTGCCGTCCCCACAGCCCCAGGCCAGCAGCGCCCCTGCCTCCACCCCCACCGCACACCTCTCCCTGCGCCCGGCCAGCAGCGCCCCTGCCTCCACCCCCACCGCACACCTCTCCCTGCGCCCGGCGGCTCATGTTCTGCGGCTGGGTCTCGGTGACGGCCACGCAGGCCTCACTGCGGCTCCACAGCCAGTGGCCACTCTCTTCGGCCCGCGGGCACTCAGCCCTCCTGGTGCATCTGCGGGGGCAGGGGGCACCCGTGAGCCCTCAGGGTGGGGCGGCACCCCCGGACCCAGGCTGGGCCGAGCACCCCAGACTCCCGGATGCTCACCGTCCCTCGACGACACACCAGCCGCAGTAGGGGTCCTGTGAGCTGCGGCACTGGGCGCAGGTGGAAAAGCTCTCACACTCCTGCACGGGGAGCCGGAACACCTGGGGGCACCGGGGCGGTGAGCGGGACTACGGCCGCCGCAGGTGTCGGGCCAGCAGCCACGAAGGACCTCGCTCAGACGCCAGACTTTCCCGGGACCACCAGCTTGATCCCACCTTTACCGCTAAGGCTTAGAAGCCTCGACACGACTCAAGGCTGGGCAGTGAGGGCTCCAGGCAGCAGCTGCTGTCCAGGTTGTGTGGGACCCGGCCGGGAGGCTGGACCTGACCCAGGATCGGGTGGCGCAGGAGCCCGGGGCCCATGTCCCCCACCGTCTGAGCTCACAGAAGCTGCCTGGGGCCCCGCGCCTCCCTGTTTGCACTTGGGGAAGGCCCACTCAGAGCACTGATCCTCTGGTCAGGAGGGGCCCAAGGCCGGGCCGGAGACACAGAACAGCGAGAAACGGTTTCAAAGATGGGAAAGGTGCTTGAGAGACACTGTCAGGACCCAGGGAGATGACAATTGGGCCCCCTCCCAGCATGCTCTGCGTGTCTCTAGGGGCTGGACCACCAAGGCCCCTCCTCCCAGGCTCCACAGGCCAACCTTGTCCTGGGTCATGGCGTACAGACTGGTCAGGTCTGCGGCCAGCACCAGGTCCTTCTTGATTCTCTTGTTGATCTCCACAAGGACAGAGCCATACTCCGCGGAGCTGCCATCTGGAGCGAGGTACACCTGTGGGCACGAGAGCAGGTGCACGGTGAGGGCAGGGGGCCTCGTGCACTGAGGACCCCTCCGGAAACCACCCTGCCCCAGCCCTGGGCCTCACCTTGAGGACCCGGCCGTCCGAGGTGCCCAGGAAGGCGATGGTGTGGCCATTCTCGGTCGTCACTGTCACAGCTGTCAGGTTCAGGCCTCCACGGTGCAGCACGGCTACGGCTGAGAGTCCGTCTCGGCTGCCCAGCGGGTAGGGCAGGTGCTCTGAGCCACACGGGAAACTCTCACTGGCACCCTATGGACCATGGCGTCAACGGTGGGTGCAGACCCCCGCCCGAGGCCTCTCCCCACCACGACTCCCAGCACTCGCGGCCCTGCACACGTCCCCCAGGACCAGCCCAGGCAGGCAGGGCCCCTACCCACGTGCTCACTGCTCCAAAACCCAATGCCCAGCATGGCTGACACCTGGGAGAAGTGGCACCTACATCTCACGCTCACCTGTCCGCAGGGACACACACGTACACGCACACACACACACACACACACACACACACACACACACACACACCGGCCTTCACAAGCATGTGGGACGTGGACACGGCAAGCAGTGCCACGCGCAGAACCACACGCGCGTGGTCTAAGCCCGTGGGAGAACGTGCTGAGGCCACATACCGACCCGTGGCCACCACACTGGATCTCGCCGTGGAAGGGCTTGTAGAAGGTGTCCCGGCCCGCCTCCCGGGTGCCCGTGTAGCAGGCGTCGCGGCTGGTCTCCATCTTGCTGTGGACCTCGTCCAGTGGGAACAGGCAGAGGCCCGCCCGTGGCCCCCCGCCACCCCGGCCATCTGTGCTGAAGACAGTGTAGAGCACCCCAGTGGCGCCTGGCCGGGCCACGGAGGCCGCCAGGCAGGTGCCGAAGGCGGGGACCCGGGTGTCATCGGGGCCCAGGCAGCGCAGGTCCACCTCCAGGTAGGAGTAGTAGAACGGGTCGTACTTGCACATACGCGCCAGCAGCGTGCGGTTCCGGGCCGGGTGCTTGTCCTGCTGGTTGAAGACGAAGAAGACGTAGTGGCCATCCTCGAAGGCAGCCACGAACTGCTGTGTGTTTGTGGACAGGTAGCCGGCCTTGTAGGTGGCGTGGTCCGTGTAGGCCTCAAAGGCCTCCCTGCCCTCCGTCCGGTCCAGCAGGCGCGTGCTCACAATGATGCCGTTGTCGTGGGGCCCGTTGCCCTTGCCCACAAAGAGCACGTGCTCGCCGCTTGGGCCCGTTGTGCTCACCAGCCCCACGGTGGCCACGCTCTCGTCGTTGCTGGCCACGAAGGACTTCTCGCCACTGCCATCCTCGTAGAAGAGGAGCGAGGAGATGTTGCTCAGGGAACGCAGGGCGCAAATGCCCTTGAAGAGGCTGCCGCACTCGATGAGGCGGTTCCGGGAGGGGTCGAGCAGCAGGAGCTGGTTGACGTTGTCAGTCTGCACGGCCTCGTGGCACTGGCTCGCCTCGATGGGCGGCGTGCACTTCTTGTTGTCCAGGGCCGGGCCCGTGGCCGCCCGCTGCTCCAGCTGCAGGTCGGCACTCAGCTGGTAGAGCGTGTTCACCGCCCCCACGTACACCACGCCCGACACCTCGTCCACCACCAGGTGGTTCAGCTCTGTTTCGCTGCGGAAGAAGTCCAGCTTGCGGGACCGCAGGCTTGCACTTGTGCCCGCCAGGCCCAGGAGGGTCAGGGTCCAGAGCTGCAGCGCCATTGCCCCTGGCACCCTGTGGGAAGGGAGGAGGGTCAGGGGAGCCCCAGCCTGGAGGACCCACCCCACCCCACAGGAAGCCCCCGGTGCCTGACCCTGCCCAGCCCGCAGCCCGCCCGAGCCCACGATCCCTTCCCTGCCTTCCCACCCATCTGGCCAGACACACGCACTCTCATCTCTAAGGAGATCATCTCCCAGCCCTCCTCAAGAAGGAACACCTGTAACCTAACCGCTGAGGGGCCAGGCCACCAGCACTGCAGCTCCAGGCCTGGGTGCAGCCGCCCCCGGAGGACTGCACCCTGTCCTCTGCCCCCAGGTTCCCAAAGCACCTTCAGGCCCACCTCCAAGGCAAAAGAGCACCTCCTCCAGAAAGTCTCCCAGACACTCACTCATGTGCCCACCCTCGCACCCCATGACCCCAAGAGCCCCAGGTGCTCCACACTGTCCAGAGCACAGACCCAAGCTGACCGACAGGCCCTGAACATGCAAACAGGTGGGCCACACACCTGTTCTATGCCTGACTCTCGGCACACACGGTGTAATCTGACAGGCAGCAGCAGAGCCACTGGTGGGCCTGCCTCCCCACCCTCTCACGAAGCCTTCCAGGCCCTGCCTCCAACCCCGCTTCCCCTGATGAACCAGCAGGAGGGCCCCAGCAATCCACCCGCCCTGCCTGTGCCCCGCCCAGGGCAGACCCTCAGACGCAGGCACGCCGGACGCAGGTCCTGGGAGGGTGTTCTGGGGTGAACCAGGTCTCTGAGGGGGGACCCCGGAGGCCGCGGGGGGTGCTGCGTGCAGGGCTGGGGCAGGCCACATCGGTGCGGGTGTCCATCCGAGCACACACACGGCCCTGCGTATGTGCGCGCGCCCGTGCGTGTCTCTGGATGTATGGGGGGCGAGCTACTAAGGCCAAGGGTGGGCTCAGAGTCCCCAGCATGGAGGCCCCTCCCACCTTGGGGTGGTCCAGCACAATCGCCGCCCTTGGGACCCTGATCAGAATCCCCTAAAGTGGTCTTGGCCGCCACCCCCACCGGCCACCCTCTCACAATCTGTGCGTGAGCCCTCACTCCTGGACCCGCCGGAACCTTCCCTGAGGGGGCCTGTGCCCGGCAGGACATTTAGGGCAGCTGTCCATGCCACGTGGCCGAGTGGAGACTGACCCCAACGGCAGAGGGTCATGAGGGGCTCAGGCACAGATTGTGAGAGGGTGGCCGGTGGCGGTGGCCTCCCAGACTCCCCCCACGGCTGCTGCACCTCTACAGAGGAGCTGACACGCCCCCTACGGCCCCCTCAAACACCACCGCCCTGGAAACGCGCTCATTCCCTCAAGAAACAATTACTTTTTTCCCCCCCTTTGACAGCCTGCCCTGCCCCGCCCTGAGTCCTCCTCCTCCAGGAAGGCAGAAGGCTGTCTGCTCTGCTCCATGGCCAGGGGAGACGTTTCTTTGGGGGCACTGGCTTTGGGCAAAGCTGTGCTGACTGGAATAGGATGGACCCTGTGATTCTCACATCAAGCCAGCTTCCTTCTTTGCCCGAGCCACTAGGAAGCCCCCCGGCCAGGCTGTGGCTGTTTTCTATCCCCCACTGCATCCCTCTGTTCTGAGTCTCCACAACATTCCTCAAGCCCCTGGAGGAAGCATAACCGAGAGGCAACCAAGGGACAAAGCCCAGTGACAAAGCCAGAACAAGTGTCACAAAGCCAGTGACAAAGCACCGCAGAATCACCACTGACAGGGGCAGGTCTCAGGGCTGGGGAAGGCGCCCCTCGGCTGTGCACTGAAGCCCCTTGCTCTGGAGTGTTCAGTTCCTGCCGGGCCCCTGGGGACCCCACAGGCCTCCGCACGAGCTGCTGGCTTGACAGTGTCCAGGAGGCAGCAAGGACCTGGGAAGGAGCTGAAAATGGCCTAAGAGAAGGCGGTGGGATGAGGAGACAGGGTGACCCCAGGCCGCACCAAGACGAGGTGATCAGGTCGGGGAGGAGATGGTGCCTTTGGTCAAAGACAGGAAGAGTTCACAGGACCGCGCGCAGACTGTGCAGATCCTGGGCGGAGGCGGGCCTCTGCCACCGCAGGCTCCGCTCGTCTCCGCGGGCAACTGAGGCCGTCTAGGGGAGAGGAGGGTGCAGTTCAGAAAATCCCCAGGCTGGAGCCGGGACGCCCGCGACGCCAGGACTGCACAGAACCAGGCGCGCCAGGAGAGGCCCCGGGCGCTCAGGCACCCTCCGGTACCTTCGCTCAGGGCCCGGGGAGCGGGGGCGGGGAAGGGCAAGGCTGCAGGGCCCCGCCCCCCGCCGCCCCTCCCCCGCCGCCCCAGCTTCCCTGCCGCCCCGCCCCCGCGCTCGCTGGCTCGCCCGCCGCGGCGCAAAGTCCGCTCCCCGGCGCCGCGGAGGCGGGGGGCGTCCAGGCCCCTCGGCCTCGAGCCCAGGCTGGCCCTACCCACCCCGCCCCGGCCCCGCTCACCCGAGTCCCCGCCGCGACTCTGGTCCCGCTCGGCTTTGGCGGCGGCTGCGGCTCCAGCCACGGGCCGCCGCGGCAAGCGGGGAATGAATGGAATGTTCCCGGAGCCCAGGGAGGGAGCGGGCGGGCGGGGGCGGACCTGCGGGTGCGGACGGACGGGCGGGGGCGGAGCCGCGGCCGGAGCTGGAGCCGCCCGAGCCCAGGCCACCCATGGAAGCAGGCCCCCTGGTCCCCGATGGACCCGTGTCCAGGCCCCTCTGCCGGCCGGCAGCGCGCCTAGGACTCGAACCCAGAACCGACCAAGCGGGGAAACTCCTGCCCCCCCGCCTTCTGAAAGAGCTCTGCTGTGACCCTGAGCCCTGCCTCAGTCCTGGTAGCTCACAGACGTGACAGGACCCAGGAGATGGAAGGGTCACAGTGCATAAAAAAGAATGCTCTGGGGCTTCCCTGGTGGCGCAGTGGTTGAGAGTCCACCTGCCGATGCAGGGGACGCGGGTTCGTGCCCCGGTCCAGGAGGATCCCACAAGCCGCGGAGCGGCTGGGCCCGTGAGCCATGGCCGCTGAGCCTGCGCGTCCGGAGCCTGTGCTCCGCAACAGGAGAGGCCACAGCAGTGAGAGGCCCGGGTACCGCAAAAAAAAAAAAAGAATGCTCTGGCCTCCCTCTGGTTGATGTCCACTTGACTGAGCCCCTGGGGCAGAAGCCCAGCCCTGTCCTTGGCCCCAGGGGCCCCCAGGGCTGGCACACCAGAAGTGCTCTATGAAAGCCACGTGTGTGGTCACGGAGCAGGAACAGGTCTTGCTGCTGACAGTAACACTGGCCCAGATACTGTGCTGCTGCCCCCGCCTCACCCCCCCTCAAGCAGGCCAGGGCCAGACCTGGGCTCCCTGGCCCAGGACCCCTCTTGGTGGTGGGCAGAGTGAGCCTCAAGTCCAGGGGTTCCAAGGGCCCCTCACGCTGAGCCCAGGTCACACAGTCTGGCAGGAGGGACTTGGGTGACAATGATAGGCAGCAGCTCCCTCCACTTCGGGACAAACAAAGCCTCAGGTGACCTGCCTGGCCAGGCCCACGGGAGCAAAGGGTGAACCACCTGACCAGAGGCAGCGCTCAGGCCGTCCTTGCGGGAGGTGCCGGGCACAGCCCGGCAGAGCTTCCTGCGGCTGGCGTTCCTGGAACGGGCGCTTCCTGTTTTGAAGGCAGCCTGGGACCCTCCGCTTGCTCACCGGGCCAGCGGGGATTTCCTCAGGGGCATCAGACGCCTCTTCCTGGCCGAAGCCCGGAGGTGCACTTCCAAGAAGTCGCACAGACTCCAGCCTGCTGCTGGCCAGGAAGGCGTCTGGCCAGGCGCCCCCTCCCCCAGCCCAAATTCCCAGCCCTAACGTTCCAGATTCCAGCACTGCAGCCAGCGCCCAAACACACCGCCCCAGCCTCGCAGCAGAGCCCACCCCTCCCAAGCAAATCCTGGCCCCCCCATCAGCGAATTGGGGGGGCCTGGCAGCGGCCCCCACAGCTAGGGCACCTGGGTTTGGGCAGACGTTTGCACACCGGGCCCGACCGGACCAGAGCCTCAGGGACACCAGACGCCTTCACTGCGTGGCTGTAGCCCCCCTGCCTCCCCCAGGTGGTGCCCAGCCGCCACTCACCCGGGCTCCAGAAGTCCAGCTCAGTCTCTGCTCCAGGCCAGCATGGAGATCCCCTAGGAAGCAAGGGAGAGACAGTGGTCTCACCACAAGCCTGGCCCCTACCGCCTCATCTCTCCTCTGCTCCACATCTGGGGGGGGCGAGGAACAGCCCATGGGACCCCAGCTGGCCTCTGCCACCCTGGAGCAGGAGAACCTCAACTCCAGCCTCCTCCACCCGGCCCTCACGTCCCCCCCTCAGACACTGGCCCCCCACCCCCTAGCCCAGCACCCCAGTGCACACATGCCCACTTGGTGTGTATGCCTGACACCGCCCTTCTTGCCTCTGCTCAAAAAAGGCAGAGGGAATTCCCTGGGGGTCCAGTGGTTAGGACTCTGCGCTTTCACTGCCGAGGGCCTGGGTTCAATTCTTGGTCAGGGAACTAAGATTCTGCAAGCTGCGCTGAACAGGAGGAAGAAAAAAAAAAAGGAAGAAAAAAAAGCGGAAGAAAAGGGCAGGGAACAGCTTCTCGTTAAGTCTCTCGGTACTGTCTGCTTATTAAACCAGGACGTTAAAATTAAACTTGCTTTCTGAAGAACATGCATACACACGAGCCCGCAATTCTACTTACTAGCTGTGTGACCTTGGGCAAATTATTTAACTTCTCTGAGCCTCATTTCCCCATCTGTGAAGTGGAGACAGTCATAGTGAGCTCCCCCAGGGGTTTGTAAGAACTAAATTATTCCGGCCAGAAAAGCCTCCGGAGAGCCTGTTACACTGTAGCACTCAGCAACGCTTGCTATTGTATCCTCTCCTGGATAAACACCCATGTGTACCCACAGGGAGGACTAGTCCAAGGATACTTCTCAGCACGATTCATTATAGTGAAAATTTGGCAACCACCCAGCATGCAACCAGAGGACCCTGAAAAACCATGGTGCTGATGAAGGTGGGTGGGCCATGCCGACCCAACGGAGCCCAGACCTGTTGGGGACGGCTGTGGAGCAGAACTCCAGGTATCACCACACGTGGGTGTCGATACAGACACACATGGTTTAACTGAGAAGTTCTAGAAGCCTTCATCCAAATTGAAAGTCAAGGTGAAGCGGGGGGGGGGGGGGGGGGGGGCAGGGAGGAGGGGGCTGGGACAGCAAAGCAACTTCATTTGCCAGTTTTGGAAAAAAATTTGAGAAGGATATATTTACATACTACTTGTCTAAATAAAAAGAGGTCTGTGTAATAATAATAATCAGACCCCCTCCAGCCCCACTCTGCCTCAGGACACGGCTTTCCAGGCACTCAGTGACCACACCCCAGCCATCTCTCCGGGCCTATCCCAGGTCTCCTCCCCAGGTCTCCTCGGCCATGGCCCACTGGCTCCCTGCCTGGCTGCCCTCCCCAGCAGCGCTCCCCCAACACCTCCTCCACCAGGGTCAGGCCCTGCTCCCCCCGTACCCCCCCAGGCACTCTCCCGACGTGGGGAACGACATTGCGAGTAGGGCCCAGGCCTGGGAGGACCCACGGCCGGTCCAAAGGAGACCAGCAGGGGCAAGGCCTGCGGGGAGGTGGGTGCCACACTTGCGCACATAGGCAGGAAAGCCCTCTGGTGCCCTCAGCCCCTGGCTGAGCAGTGGAGGGTTAACCCAGGAAGAGGGGCTCAGGGCTCCAGGTGTGAGGGTGAGGGGTGTGTTTTGCCCTAGGCGCTCAACAACACAGCCTTTGTGAAAGGGGCAAACTCAGGTGCCAAACCACAGGGTGTCAGGATGATGGAGCCGCATGAGAAATCTGGACCAGGCCTGGCCTCGAGGCTGCATCCAGTCCAGGTGGAGGCTGAGCTCGGGGTCCACAGCACACGAGGGCACAGGGCGTGCAGACCTGCCACCCTGAAGGGACATCACTCTGGCCTCCGTGTGCCCTGTGCACCGCCCTCCACTGGCCCAGGCCCCTCCCTGGCCAGGGGTGTGCGTGCTGCAGGTGTCGCCAAGGGAGGCTAGCCTCTTCCAAGGGACACCCTCTTCATGAGCCCACACACCCAGCCTCCACAGCCACCACCTCACCCCTCGACAGACCTGCCCCAAGTGACCCACTGGGGTGGACCCACCTCTCAGACCCTCCAATTTCTCCTCCCAGCATCAGGCTCCTCCAGCCAGCACTTCCTCCAGAAGGAAGCTTGACCCCCTCCCCTTCCCCTTTCCTAACCCGGCCTCAGCCACCCTGTCCTGGCCCCCAGCTGCCCCAGCGTGGCCATCCTGCCTCTGCTCTGGAGGGTCACTCCTTCTACCTCAGATGAAGGCCACTGTCCTGAACACCCACAGGCCCCTGAGGCCATGGGGTCCCCCCACCCCACAACCACACCCCCAGTGCTGCTGCCCAGAGGGGCCTCAGGGGCTGCGCTCTGGAGCCATATTATGGGGTTCAAACCCCAGGTCTGTCTCCTCCTACCTGGCTTATGTGGGCTCTTTACAAACTTACATTGTGCCTCAGTTTCCCGGGTGTGACATGGGGGGTAATAACAGCACCAACCCAAGTGGGCTGCCGCGAGGTGTAAGTGAATCCGTGTGCAGAAATCCTTCGGTTGTCCTCTCAGTGGAGGAGGAACTCAGGGTGACGCCATGATGTCGCCATGTCTCTGCTTTTGCTGTTCCCCCTGGGAAACTCCTGCCCATCCGTCAGAAGCCTGAGACACCCATCCTGACCTGGCCCTGCAGGACTGTCACTCCTCCGCTGTGGTCTGTGGTCTTCACTGGTGAGCAAGATCTGAACACAGGATTTGAGGCCCTAGGTGGGTCTCAGCCCAGTGAACCGGCAAGGGGGTGACACACAGCAGAGGAAGCTGAAAGTACATGTGCCCCTACAGCTGGCCCCTCAGCCTCACGCACACAGTGGTCTGTCCTCCCCCAGCCAGGGCGCTGACGGGCACCGGGCTGCGGGCGGCCCAGGCCTCTCCTCGCACGTCCACAGGAGTGGGAAGCAATGGGAAGGAGCCTCGGCCACTGGGTCCCCTGAGGCTCCCCCTCCTCGGGTTCCTTTCTTCTAAGCAGTAGCTGCCCCACACACCCGGAAAAGGTAAACAGGAGGCGCCCACTGGGGAAGGGCAGGGTCCTCAGGCCAGGCCAGGGCTGTCAGGGTCCCCCTCCGGTCTTGGCCCCCCGGGGAAGAAGGCCCTGGGGTGCCGGCTAGACCTCCCTGTCGCTAGCGTCAGGCAAACACAGATTGAACAACTTCTTAAAGCTGAAGGCAAAGCAGTGCACAGCACCCAGGGCTGTGGAGGCCCCTGGCAGCCTGTGGGCTCGGGAAGGGGACCCAGAGGCAGACACGGAGAAACCCACGATTCAGGCTAAGGCTCGAGTCCAAGGCAGGGATACCCTGTGATGGGGGTGGGGGGAGTCTTAGCACCTTGTGGAGGGCACTACGGACCCCCAACGCGGGGGTGGGGTAACCTACACCCGGCGGACAGGGTGGGGGCCGCGTCGCCCCGGGGCCAGGCCAGGAGGCAGCGAGGGTGGCTGTCCCGCCTCGGGCGCCGCCCCTCCCCCGCCCCGCAGCTGGCTGCAGGGGACCGGCCTCTGCTGCGTTCTCCAGGCGAAAATGCAAATCTGCAATTAGCCGGGAGCGCGAAACAAATCAGAGAAAACTAAACAGGCGAGACGCCCGCAAATCCGAGCCTCCGCCGTTTTCAAAACAAGTGCGAGGGAGGGGCGCGAATGGGGCCGGGGGGAGCGTCGGGGCCCCCGGGCCAGGGCGAGAGGGAGCCCCGCGGTCCTACCGCGCCCGCCTGGGGCCCCGGGTCTGAGTTCAGCCCGGGAGGTGGGGCGGTCCCCAGACGGGGAGGGCCGGCCTGGCCTCGTAACCCCAGGCGACCAGGTGGCGGCGCGGCCCCGGGGGACGACCCCTCGGAAGCCCCGCCCGCACCCCGCGGCCCCGGGGGGAACAAGTGGGCCTCTGAGGAGCCTCCCAGGGGACCCAGGGCGCACGGTCGGCGGGAGCCTGACCTCCGGTCGCCGTGACGGCGGCGGCCACGTGGGCCCAGGGACCCGTCCCCAAGGAGCCTCGCGGGGCGTCAGGCTGTCCTCTGGCCGGGAGGGCGCGGTGGCCAGGCCCCCCGCTCCGCGGTCGGCCAGTGATCCGCCGAGGCCCCAGCCGCAGCCGGCATGGCTCCCAACCCCCCTCCTGCCAGACTCACCGGGCAAAGGCCGAGCTCCCCGCACAGCCACCTAGGAGCAGGCGCGGGTGGGGCCGGGCTCTAGGGACAGCCTGACGTCTAGCCTGAGCCTTGCGTCAGCGCTGGGAGAGCCTCCCACAGGACCCCTCCCAGGTGTATAGGGTGTCACCTCCCCACCAGCCCGGCCCACAGCCCGGTTCCTCCGTCAACTGGCAGAGGCCGTGGGCCAGAGCCCATCCCCGCCAGGGCTGTGGAGGCTCCCCCTGCAGCCTGGGCTCTGGGCCCCAGCATGAAAATCACCCCTGCCTGGTGGCCCAAGACCCCGGGCCAAGGGGGAGTGGGCGCAGAGAAACCAACCCCAGGGCTTTCTCTGCCACCTGCCTTTGGGGTCTCCGGGCCTGCTCCCCCGACCCCATGGGCCTCCCCCCAGCCAAGTCCATAGCCTCCCACTCCTTCCTGCCCTGTGCTCCCAGGCCGCCTCTCAGCCCCTCCGTCTGATACCCGAGGTCACCGTGACCAGTGTCTCTGCGTCCAGCCCTCACCCTCAGGCGTCGCAGGGGCTCACCCGGCAAAGCCCTAGGGTGTGTGCTGCAGCCGCAGCCGCCCACGCCCCCGTGACTGCAGACCCTGCAGTGTGGGCGCTGACCCAGACTGGGATCTCCATGCTGTCGGCAGTCGGTCCCAGTCACTGCCTCACCATGCGGTGCCTAACCTCGTGGAGAGACGGCTTAGGACGACTTGGTTTCAGTCGATTACTGTCCTTCAAGAATACCTGCCTGGGCGCTGCCAGCAGCCTCCTGGGCCTCCCAGACCCTCAGGACACAAGGTGGGATTCAGTAGGTTCTGGTGCCCAGACGCCCCACCATGATGCAAGACCCACCTCTCCTCCTGGCCGCCCCCCTGAGTCCCAGCCACCATTGTGTCCCACCTGGACTCGGTTTGGGCCCCATTTCTGATTCCCCCCCAGGCTTGTCCATGTCCCTCCTCTGCAGAGCAGTCCTTCCCGTCAGAACACCCTGCAGCTTAACGCCTCCATCGACTTCCCCATGCTCGTGGGGACCCCCCAAATGGGCCCGCTGACCTGCCCCATCTGCTCAGCCCGAAGCCCCCAAGCGCTTCCTGTGTGCCACACGACGGTGCTGTGTGCTGGGGACAGAGGGACAGGTCTCTACCCTCCAGGGTCCGGGAGCCCCCGTGGAGCTCCCAGCAACTTGTCGGCCCTGGCACACAGCGGCCACAGTCAACACCCGGTGAACAGATGAACGGGGCTGGCACTCAGGCAAGTGTGGACATCCTCCAGAGACCACCTCTCCAGTGGACAGCCTGTCAGGGTCAGGCTGAGAGGGACAGGAAGACGGGGTGAGATACTGGGAGAAGCCAGATGTGGGCTGGGGCCGGCTGAGAGAGGGTGGGCACTGCAGGGCATCGGGAGCACAGATGAGGCCAACGGGAGCGCCCAGCCGCCCAAGCATCAGAGGGGCTCCTGGATAAGGAGCTGCGCCCCCGTTCCGCAGTCCCAGCCGGGAGACTGGGGACATCGGGCTCCACGCAGGCAGGAGCCACTGGTTCTGAGGTCTGCCCCCACCTGCCAGCACCCACCGCTGAGCTGCCCGCACTCACCTCCCCTTTCCAGGCTCACCTCCCACAGCTGGCTGGATGCTGCCCGCCCGGAGCCCCCTTCCTTTCCCAGGCCGTGCGCAAGAGGCAGGAGTGGGACATGGGGGCGGACGGGTGAGGGCCCGAGCGAGCAAGGAGCCGGCCAGACCTGTAATCTCCCAGTCAGCCTGTCAGCGCCTCAGCGGTCACCCCGAGCCCCCTCCTCCATCACAGCCGAACCCCACAATTAGCCTGCGGCGCTGTGCCCAGCTGGCATGCCAGCCACCACTCACACACACGTGAGCACACATGTGCAGGCACACACGTCTGCCCCAGACCTGAGCACCTGGGCTGGGTGAGCCTCGGGCAGCCCCAGCACTGCGTCCGCCCAGCACACCCAGAAGGGCCGGGGGGCCTGGAGGAGCTGGGCAGGCCTGGAGCTGGCCTCGAGGGACCCGTGTGGGAAAGGTGGGCCAGGGCCATCTGCGTGGGGGGACGGCTCCAGGCCGCTGGCCCGGTCTCTGTCCAGGTGGGGTCGGGCCCTGGTGAGGTGCAGGGTGCTTGCGGGGCTGGGTAGGGTCTGGAGTCCAGGCTCAGGGTGGGGCGGTGGTCCGGGTTAGGGTTAGGCTTTGGAAGGGCAGAGGGACCGGGAGTTTCCAGCGAGGAAATACCCCAGCTCAGGGGAAGGCAGAGTGGTGAATGGGACAATGGTGCAGGGGTCAGGGGGCAGCGAGGTGGCCGGGACTGCATGGGGGGAGGCGGGCACCCGGCCTCCCTGGGACCACACACCCAGGAAGTAGCCCACAGGTCCCTGGGGCCAGGCCCAGCACCCACCCCCTCAGCGGCTCACTCAGTTCAGCAAGGAGCTGTCACACACAGGGGTAGGGCCAGGGGCCACCTGCAGGAAGCGTGGCTGGGTCTCCTGCCCCTCACGTCCCCCGGCCCGTCTGGGGGAGCAACTCCAAGGCTGAGAGGGAGCAGGTGGGCTGCGCTGGGGCCTCTCCTTCCCACCACCTGCTCTCAGCCCCGCCAACTCACCCAGCTCTGGTCCTACCACTGGGTGCAAGTGGGACAGCGGCCACCTTCCCTGGGGAGGGCAGCAGCCGCGCCACGGCAGTGTCCTGGGCCCTGGCCCTCCTCCAAAGTAGGCCCCCCCGCTCTGAGGATGCCCTGGGCTGGGGCTGGGGGCTAGAAGCCACATTCAGGCCCAGAGCCCACACCTCCCATGGCCGGGTCCACACCCCCTGGCCACCCCAATCCTGCCGCTCGTGCCACAGGCCCCCTTGTACCCCAAGACAGACCCATGCTCCCTAACCTATCAGGGCTGTCCCTAGACCCCTTCAGCACTCCTCCCTCCAGCACTCAAGGACCCAGGTGGCCACCAAGCCAGTCACCCTCTTCCCACTGTCACCCATGCTGCACGTCTGGCTGTGGCCGAGGAACCCTGGAGCCGCCTCAGCCTTCAGCCACCAGCTTGGCGCCGGGCAGGGTGCCTGGAGGGGAGCTGACGGCGCCCCCCAGAGAAGTCCAAATCAGCGCAGGGCCCATGGCCTGCACAGGTGGCATGCTGGCTCAGGGGGCCCAGATCGGAGCAGAAGGCCAGCAGCCGGAAGTGTCCCTGCCTCGGGAGCAGACGCCCCTGCCCTGACTCCGTTCATACAGGTGGCCTTCTGCAAGGCTGACATCAAACCTTTTCCCTTTCTTGCTCTTCCTGAGGAGGGGGTCCAGCGGGGGCTGCGTCACAGAGGTCTGAGCTCGAGATCTGAGCTCGACACGGTGCCCCTCCTCCCAGAACCCCCCATGGGAACTGCCGGCCAACTGCACCGAGGGCTCTGGTCTCCACATCCGGAAGGGACGAGTGCAGGGCAGGGCTGACGCCAGCACTGGGGTCAGAATCCAGGCTGCACCCACAGGCCGCACTTTTGCTCCCACGGTCCCCAGGCCAGGACTCACCTGGCACCAGGATGGAGAACTGCCAGGTTTCAGAAATCACGTGATCTTAGGGGCTGAGGACGGGGGCACCAAGCTGAGCCCTCTTCCCAGATGCCCCATCCCCAGCCCAGGAGAGCACCTCCTCTGCCTAGCGCACAGGGGAACCAGGCACTCGGGTGGGCCAGTGGCCAGCCCACAGGGTGGAAAGCTGCCAGCCACGGTGGGAGCAGTGCTGGGGGAGACACTCTCCGTGTGAAGGGGGCGCTGAGCTGCAGATGGGGGACCAAAGGGTGACAAAGGGTGGGAAATAGGACCCCAGCTCCAGGGGGGGGCCAGCCCTGGGCTCCTCCCTGTGACTGGAGGGGCAGACCGACAGGTGTGCCCCTGGCCACCCCGGGCTCCGTCTGGGGTTCTGGGTCCAGTCACTGTCACAGGTTCATGAATACCACAGGGGTAGGCACTGGGGGCAGGACAGCAGAGGCCCTGCCCCGCCCTTCAGAAGCCCCGCCGGATGGGAGGGAAGGGCTGGGAGCAGCTGTGCCCCGGTCTGGCTCGGGGGGGCCCAGGAAAGGGCAGGATTCTTGCCTGGTCAGCAGAGGGAACGAGGTCCTCAAAGCCCCAGGGCCAGAGGGAAGCAGGAGCCCATCAGAGGATGTGAAATCACAGAAGGGAAAACCATGAAGGGACCACATGTGGCCTGGAGAGAAAAAGGGAAGCAACAGTGCTTCCCCAGCCCTCATGCACCCCAGTGCCCCCCACCAATTACAGGCCACCAACCACGATCCAGCCTGTAATCTGAGACCAAAGACATGTAGAGGCCCCATCCACCCTACCCCACCCCAAACACACATAGCCATTAGCCTGGGGGGGGGGGGGGACTCTGCCCAGCCCCCACTGCCAACTAGGGACTGGCCCCCAGTGAACCCGTATCCAGCTCAGCTGGGAGACCAGCCTGGGTTGAGTTCTGGCAGGTCTGATCGCTCACCTCCTCCCCTGACTGCTTTCCCGACACCCTGGTCCAGGGCAGGCTCTGGGCCCAAGAGGCTCTTCAGCAGGGAAGAAAAGCTTATTCCCCCCACCCAGGAAGCCAAGGCAGGAGGCTGGTGTCTGTTGCTGCAGCAGAAAGGACTGAGGCCTGACGGGAGTAAGAAGGACACAGAAGGAGGACCAGAGGACCTGGCGCCTCAGCGCGGATCTGCCCAGACCGGAGAAGGGGCCATGTGGGAGAGCACTGAAGCCACAGCCTGTCCCCACCAGTTCACTCCCCTGGTCCCAGGGCTTCACCAGCTCCGGCCCCCAGGAAGCGGGTTCAAGGCAGGGAACAGGAGGTTCCCAGAATGGCCCAGGTCCTGAGACGGCTCAAGTGCCCGCAACCAAGCTGTCCTGGGGGAGACGGGCACATGCCATATGGATCCCTCCCCAGGCTGCCGGCCCACCCCAGTGCCTTCCAGTCCAATCTCTTCTGCTCCACTCACCTGGGCTGAGGCCAGGCCCCTGGGTTTACTGCACGCTGCCCCAGCTGCCAGCTCTGCCTCACAGCGTGGTCCCTACAGGGGCCACTGGGTGGGTGGCTGCACACATGCCTACACGGACCTTGGGAGCCCAAGCGGCAGAGGCACCATCCCAGTCGGCTCCTTGCATCTCTGGCCTTGGGCTCCTCACCTGTGGGACCCCTCCCCTACGGGATCCTTCACCTGTGGGGTGGGGACGTGGGGGTGGGAGCTGGGCTGTCCGAGGGGCTTGGAGGGAAGTGGTGCATCCGTCAGCTGCTGGTTAGTGAGTCAGTCAAGAGGCAGGAGAATGGCCAGAGATTCGGCCCGAGGGAGACCCCAGTGCCCCACCACGCTAAGCAGCCTGAGTCACGGCCCTCCACCCCAGGGAAGCGCCACACAGGTGTAAGTAACCAGCCCAAGGTGTGTCCCTGAACCCAGAGCTGGAGGGCAGCCACACAGGACACCCTGGGTCCCGAGAAAGGAGTCTAGGACTCCTCCGGCTCCACGGCCTCCCCCAGGGGGCCTGGGCCCACGCCAGGCTCACTGGGCGGGGCCTGCTGGGGCCGATCTTGGGCGTTCTCCATCTCAAGGGTGACGCATCCCCTCCCACCCCACCCCTGACCGGTCTGAGCAGCCATGGGAGGTGGTGGAGCTGCCCAGACTTGCCCGTCCCTCCCTTCTGGGGCTCTCAACCCACGGCCCCGGAAGTGGATCTCTCTCCCACGGCTGTAGCCTCCCCCAGCTCTAGCCTCCCCGCCCCCCTTGGGTGACTGGACACGGCTGGATAATCCAAAATAATTCCTCTTGGCAGGCGGCCGGCGGGGGAGGGGGGACTTGCATTCCAAACCCTTGTTTTTCTCTGTAACTTCCCTCCCCTCCTTGGGCAAGGAGCCCCTGGCCAGACCTCAAGCCTCCCCCTACCCGGCAGACGGAGGTGGGCCCCCTATAGGTACGGCGGGAAAAGGTGACAGGCCCAGATCTGCCGAGACCACCTCTTCGTCCTCAGTCTTCTCTGGGGATTCCTAAAAGCTGACACGCCATAAAAAAACACCCAATAGGCTCAGCCAGGCCGATGCTGACCCTACCCTCCCAGGACCCTCACCTCAGAGCAGAAGAACGCCTCCCCCCCACACACCCCCCGGCAGTTGTCCAGCTCTCAGACTCTCCCCTCTGTGCCCGGGGAACATCCCGAACGGGGTCAGGCTGAGAGCTCCCACCCCTGGGGGCCGTGCTCTCCCATCTCCACGGGGCCCCGCCAGGGTGTGTGTGTGGCACACAGGGGCTGCAGTTAGACATGACAGGGGCTCCCCAGGGCAGGCACGGAGAGCCCTCCGAGCTCCAGAACACTCCACTGGCTTCGGGGGTCAAGCCTCACCCCTAGTCTTGACCCCCACCACAGGCCCAGGGCACGGATAGATTCCTTCCTTTCTTTTCCAAGTTGCTAGGAAGAGGAGGCCAGTGAAGTGGCAGGAAGCTCCGAGGCTCTTGGGCTCAGGGACCCCCCTCATACCCGCCAAGCACTGAGCACAGATGGGGGGGACGGGCCCATCTAGGAGGGCTTCCTCCGGGAGGCTGCACGCAGAGGGGCAGGGTCCTGGCAGTGAGTAGAGACTTCCTGTACTCACTTCCTGGGTCCCAGAGTGTCCACCCAAACACCACACCAACAAACACTGGGAACTGTGGGTGCTGGCTCTGTGGCGAAGCAGGCCCAGGGCCACCAGGACTTGCCAGGTGCTGGTGCTGCTGCCAAGCCACCCCTAGTCCCAAGCGGGAGCCCTGCACCCGCCTTCCAGCCTGGCCAGGTGCAGACCAGGGGCTCCCAGTGGTCCTGGCTTATGCCCGCCTCACAAGTCCCCAAGGGGTTTGGGGGCTGCCAAGGCCTGACCGCGAGCCCAGCTTCCTGGGGAAAGCCGGGGCTCGGCCACCCCAGGAACCAAGGCTGGGTGGGCGCGGGCCTGGAGCTCTTGTACAACAGGGCCGATCCCCGCCCTGTGCACGGATCTCGGTGGCTGGAGGGGCAGCGGGCATGAGTAGGGAGGGAGGATCGGGAACGAGAAGCGGTCCGAGCGGCTCCGGAGGGACGCGGGCGGCGGGAGAGGGCGCGGCGCCCAGCTAGGGACCTTCTGCTGGGCCAGGCCCGCTGCCCTCGGCGCCGCGGGCCTCGCCCGCCACCTGGAAGAGCGCGAGGTGGGAGCGGCCCGGCCCCGGCCGGCCGGACGCACGGACGGCGGCCGCAGCCCGAGTGTTCCTCCGCCGGGCGGCAGTCGCCCGAGTCCCCGCGTCCCGATCGCCGCAGGCCAGGACGGAGCGGCGCTGACGGCGAAGCCCCCCACTGGCGCGGCCGCCCCGCGGGCCCCGTACCCCATTCCCGTACCTGCTTGTCTGCCGCCGAGGCTCGATGGCGCCCGTGCCGCGATCGGCGCTGCGCTGAGGCCAGCGCGGCTGCCATGGAGACGGGCCTTTGTGTGGCCGCGGAGGGGCCGGAGCGCGCGGGAGCAGCGGCCCCGCCCCCGGCGGGGGAAAGGGGGAGGAGAGGGAGAGGGAGACGGGGAGGAGAGGGAGAGGGAGAGGAGAGAGCGGGGGTGGGGAGGGAGAGAAGGGGGGCCCGCCTGGCGGAGCGCTCCCCGCGCGCCCCCCGCGCGCCCCCCCGCGTCCCCGGCGCCTGGCGGCCGCAGTGGGCGGGCGCGCCGCGTCGCCGGGGAGGTTCGGCCCGGTTCGCGTCCAGGTTCGCGCCAGAGGAGCCCAAGTCTGGGCTCTAGGGGAGAACGCCTGCAAGACCGAGGTCCCCGGCACCCCGACCCTCCGACTGGGGAACATGCCGGCCACACTCCTACCCTTTGGGCGGTTGGGGGCTGCTGCGCCTTGTCCCTCAACTTCCAAGGGGAAGAGGACGCCTGCCCTGGGTCCCCTCGCAACCCGTCCTTGGCCTTCAGCGCCCTCCTTCCCCCGCCTCCCTTCCACCTCCCTCCACCCACACCCAGGACCCGTCAACCCCTGCTGAAGTGCTTGGAGGTGGGTGGTGAGACCGAGCCTCTCCCTGGGGCATCCACCTCTGGACTAGAGCTTGCCCCACTTCTGGGCGCTGCAGCCCCCATCAACCCTGGTCCTGATGCCCCTGGCCACTCCCACCACAACTTGAGCAGAGTTGGGGACCCCTATGGGGCCAGCTCTCCTGTGTGTCCTGCTCCCCTCAGGACAGTCTGCAGTCACAAGCCCCGCTGTGCTGAGCAGCAGCTGGGGACCCAGGGAGGACGTGGGGCCATTCCCCAGCCCTAACCTGTACTCCCACACTGGGACCCCCCTTCCTTGGGCACCTGCCCTCCACCCAGACGTTCCGTTCCCGGCAGATAGCCCACTCGTTCCTGCCCACCCCACCCAACCCGGGCCTGGGACCTGCCCCCGATGCTCAGGAACGCCCCGCTCAGATGAAGCCACTGGAGAGGGTCAACTCACTAGTTCTTTCTGCTACCCCCCTACCCCCAACCAGCCAGGCCACACCTTCACCCCTTTAGCCCTGAACCCGTCCACAGCAAAGCCCACCCAACGCCCCACCAAGAGGACCCTAAAGTTGCCAGGCTCTGATAGGGATGCCAACTTTTTATCAGAAAAGGAAGTTAAAAGGCAAGTATCGTGTCACAGAAGGACATTTTAATACCAAAGATGTGGGAAGTCCACCATCACAGACTAAAACGGAGTCTTTAAATAGAGTGCAGGAAGCTTGGGGGTGAAGACTGTCCTTCCTGTCCCTGGATCAGCCCACTGCCCTCCCACCCCCATCCCGGCCACCACACCAGGCCCACACACGATCCCCAAAAGCAGGCGGCTTCACATACTGGCCGCCGACCACAGCGCCCTCTTGGACCACTGGTTCCTGTCCGTCCAGGCCTCCTGTCCACGGGGCTCTAGTAGGTGGTGGGTCTGCCTCTTTTGATCTTCCTGCCCCTTCCTCCCTTCTCACTGCCTGTCCCCAGCCTGGTGGGGGGACAGAGGCTCAGCCCAGCCGGAGCTGACCTGATCCTGAGAGGGAACCCAGGGTCTTATGGGGGAGACGATGGAGTTGGCAGGACTCCACCCCCAGCCCTCACCCTCAGGCCCCTGTCTGGGCAGGGGGGTCAGGCTGTGAGGAGGAGGCCCCCCCCACAGCTGCAGGCACTCCAGGGGAGGGACCTCCTCCCACCTGTACCCTTCAGCTTTGGATTCCACCCTGGGCAGTGTTGCCCACTCTGCCAGGCGTCCCTCCCCCGACATCCCGCTGCACCAGTGTTCCTGAGGACAAGCCGCTGTGAGGGGCTGCTGCGTGGACACAAGCAGTCCTCGAGGGAGCATGCAAGGATTCGGGGGAATCAGGTTGTGCCTTCCTGGGTCGATGGAGGCAAAAGTCCCTGAGGGCTTTGCGGAGGCCCCTTTGCAGCCGCTCCCCTGCAGCCCTCCATCACCCGCAGTCACCCTCAGAAAGCCAAGGGAAGGGACCGTGCAATTGCCGGGGCACACCCCTCACGGCCAGACAGCAGGGCAGACTTTCCAAAGTGGCACTGGGGCCACAAAGTCCTTCCTCACTTGAGGGCCTCCAGCTCGCCTCTCCCTCTGCTGCCTCGATTCTGTCCTCTGACTGCGGTCGCACACCAGGCCGAGCTCAGCTGTCTGCAGGCTGCGGACGCGCCGGGCTGTCCTAGGCAGTGGTCAGGGCCGGACAAGACGACGCTGGCAGCTCTGAGGCCAGCGCCTCTGTCATCTGGCAGCTCCACCGAACTCCGCTTGGGAGGAGTGGCTGCGTCACTGCTCCATCCCAGGACACGGACTGTGGGGAATCAGGAGAGAAGGGAAAGCCCCCCGCTCGGCCTGCCTCCCGCACCACATCGCTCAGCCAGGACTCAGCTCAGGTTGCCTCCAAGGCCGACGCGGGCATCTACGAGGCCTTGTGCCTCAGGTGAGGCATCTGGGGTTGGGTTCGGTGGGACTTACCCAAAGGCCTGCAGCTCTGGGTCCGCGCCTCCCCCCCTGCCCTGCCCCCCACCAGCTGCCACTGCGCGCTGAGCTGTGATGGTGCCGATGACAGCACGTGACTGCTTGGCCCAGTGCTCCAAGGTGTCATATGGGGGCGTGGATCCCTTCTGAGGGGCTTTCACTCCTTGCCGAGGAGCTTGGTGCCCCAAGGCCGCGGGCCTGGTCAGGCTAGAGTCCAAGCCCCTCACTGCCTGTGGGGCTGCATGAACACGGGGGTGACTCGAGGGCCTGCCAGCCGACGAGCAGCAGCGCAGGGCAGAGTGAACGGAGAAGGTGCCCAGTGGGGTGTCCCTGGAGTGGAACAAAGACAACGACCTGGACCCGCCTGGCAGCCACGCGGGTCCTGGCGGCATCCCAGCGAACCACAGGGCACAGCTCTTCTCCGGGCAAAGCGGCTTCTCCCCTCCCAAGTGATGACCGCAGGCGAGGTTCCCCCCTCAGCCCCCAGGCAAGACAGGCGGGGGGCGGGCTGTGTGAGGAGAGGGGTCTGCCTGTCAGCCGCCTCCTTCCGTCCTGAGCTGGGCAGCCTGGTGGGTCTAAAGGACGCATCAGATGCAACGCTTGGGCCTGCAGGGCTTGGGCAGATGGGCTCCTGGAGGGGTGTGTGGCCTTGGCCCAGATCAGATCAGCAGGGCTCACAGCCTGCCCCCCACCCCTGCCTAAGACCCTGGAGAAGACAGGTGGGGCCCAGGGGGAGGGGAGGCTCTGCAGCACGTGATCCGCCAACAGTCAGGGGCCAGGCTGTAGTTCCAAATGCCACCTTGTCTGCTGGGATGATGGTGGTGCCAGGTGGGGGACCAGGGGCAACCGGAAGCTTGGGTGGGGGATCTCATGCTTGACTGGGGGGAGGGAATCTCGGCCAGACCCAGGCCCCGAGGGGCAGCCAGGCCCCGGGCCATGGGCCCCATCCTAGGGAGGGCACAGGACGACCTGCAGGTCCTTGGGCAGGGAGCCGACGACTGTCTCGATGTACAGCCGCGCCCGCTTCAGCGTCGCCTCCTTCACGGGGAGCTGGTGGCCCTGTGCCCGAACCTGCAGGGGCAGCGGTGGTCAGGGGCAGGCGACCTTCACATCTGGCTGGCCGAGGTGGGGCAGGGCTGGGAGGCATCTCACCAGCCTCTCCCGAAGTTTCAGGACCAGATCCACGACCTCCACCTCGGACTTGTCCTGCATCCAGATCTCGAGGTTCTGCGGGGACAAGATGGGACCTTCCATCGCCGAGGCTCTCGCCCAGCTCTGGGCCTGTGTCCGCGCCCCCTGCACTCTCCTCCGGCCCCTGTGTGGGGCTCGCACCCCTCTGTGCTCTCCCGCAGCCGATCGCCCCCCTCACCGCCTCACAGATGGCCTCGAGGTGCAGGGCCTCCAGCTTCTGGGCCATCTCTTTGTGCCGCTGTCGGTACCAGCCATCAAAATGGGGGGACTTGAAAAACCGCCTGTGGGGGGCAAGGGGCAGCAGGTGTGGGCTGACGCTGTGTGTTGAGGGATGGGCACGGCCACCAGCAGCAGGGGCCCCAGGACCCTACCTACTGTCCACCCACCTGTAGAGGCCCAGCCAGTCGCCCTTGAGGAGGCAGGTGAGCTGGGGCCCCGAGCGCTCCAGGCTACGCAGGAAGTCGTCCTGGCGGAAGGGGTGGATCTGGGGAGGGGTCTGAGACAGGGGCTGGGTGAGCCTGGGTGCTGGGGGCAGGCACGGCCTCGCAGGTCCCGCACCTTGGCTGGTCAGGACCTTCCCCAGGGCACTTGGCAGACGGGCCCCTTGTGTGTCCCCCAGCCCCCACCCTGCAGGGACAGATCCCAGGGTGACCCTTCCCAGAGAAGAGGGCCTCGAACCCCTCCCCCATCCGTGTGGCCCGCATTTCTCTTCCCTGTGAGGGCCACCTGCGGGTGTGGGGATGGGCTGGCCCCAGGGGCTCCTGCACACCCACGAGACACCCCCCCCAAAGGATCGGCATAGGGCCCATCCTCCCAGCCCCTCCCTGGACCACACCTTCCAGGGCGTGATGCTCTTCTGCAGGGGCATGAGGCTGGCCATGTAGTGCTCCTGGGGGGGAAGGGGAGTGAGTCTGAGTCTGGGCCACAGCCTGCTGCCTGCCCCTCCAGCCCGGCGCCCTCCTCCCCGCCGGCCAGGCCCCACCAGAGGGATGATGAAGCTCTGCGTGAGCTCCAGGAGGTGCTGCCTCAGCACTGCAGTCTGCACGTCCGACGGCCGCTTCCTCTGCAGGCCCTGGGGGGCGGGGCGAGGGCTGAGCCACAGCAGGCCGGCTGCGCCCCCTTCACACACCGAGCCCAGCTTCCCCGCCCCCGGAGCACCCCCCAGCGGTACCTTAAGCAGTCGTCTGAGCAGGGCCTTGTCTCGGTGGAGGTAGGTCGTGTACGCGGTGTAGAGGCCTGGGGAGGAGGGCAGAATGGCAGTGCGCTCCCCGGGGGCGGGGCACCCCCTTCAGCTGTGCCAGCACATCTGCCCGCCCCACCCCGCCCCAAGGCGTGCCTCTGGGTCCCGGGAGGAGAGGAGGGGCACAGACCTGGCTTGGTGTCCAGGATCTTCAGCCTTGAGGGCTTTTTCAGTTTGATCTGCTTGGGAAGGTCCCCTACGAGACACGCCCCATGGCCGGGCCTCAGGGTCTTGCTTCTGCCTCCGCAGGCTCAGACCCGGAGAGGCCCCGCGTTCCCAGGACCCTTGGGTGGAGGCCGGGGACCTCACCTGGCATCTTGGGCTCCCCGATGCGGAGAACGTGGGGCCAGTGCTGGAGCGTTTTGATAAAGAAAGGGTTTGTGACTCCCAGGACCACGCTTGGTCTAGAGAGAGAGAGAGAGAGAGAGGGAGGGAGGGAGGAGAGGCAGACGCAGGCGGAGGGCGCAGGGCGCAGGGCGGGCAGGGCGGCACTTACGGGGCCTGCGTGCGCGTCGTGAACTCCTTGAACTCGCTATCGTGGACGGTGAAGTAGGGGCGGTAGTCGCAGCAGAACTTGAGGGGCTGCAGGCAGCTGTGGGGAGGGACCCGCAGGGACAGTCAGTTCCCGGGGTGGTCCGGGGCCCCCGGCCCCTCGCGTTGCCGCCCGACCCACCTGGTCAAGGCCAGCACCATCTCCGAGGAAACTGCGGGCGAGGGCGCCAAGACCAGCAGGGGCTCCCCAAGAAGCATGAGCTCCCACAGCAGCTGCACGTGGGCCAGCACGGGCCGGAAGCACCTGGGCCGGCGGGGGCGTTGGGGAGGCTGGTGGGAGGCTCCCCAGCCCTTGCCCACCTGCCCCGACCCAGGCCCAGGCAGGCCCTGTCTGGGTGAAGGCTGGGCCTCACTCCAGAGGAAGGCGGCCGTGAGGCCTTGTGAAGATGCCTGGCCTCGCGCCCCCGCCATGCCTGAAACCAACAGCCCTGGCTCCCGCTGGGCCCAGCACAGGGCCAGAGGGTCTCCAAAGGTGGGGTCCTCTGCTGGCCCCCCAGAGAGGGCCCCTCTGGCAGCATCTCTCACCACAGCTGCTCCCTTCCCTGCTCCTGCCTGCCAGGACCTGACTTCCTGCCCACGGTGCCCACTTCCTCTGGGGGCAGACATCGGGGCACCGGGCTCCTCTTCTGCAGACTCTCCCTCTCAGAACGGGCGGGGGGTTAACTCCTGATGTCCCCCAGCGCCCCCACCCCGATGGGCTGAGCCCCGTGGGATCACTCATCACCTACCGGGGCAGCAGGTGGTGGCCTGCCTGGCTCACCTGAACAGGTCCAGCTCATGGACACTGGTGAGGACGACCGGGGCTGGCAGCAGGTTCTGAGAGGAAGGGGGGTGGGGTCAGGCCGGGAGGAGGATGACGCCTCACAAGCCCCGAGCAGCACAGGTCATCCCGGGAGAGTCCCGGGGGCCGCAGTCCCTACCCACGTGCCTCCCGGCGCCCCACAGCCCTGCACGGAGACGCAGGCCCTGTGTCTGGGGTCTGGCCACCCCCCAGTAGGTGAGGTGGGGAGGCCCAGGCAGGTGGGAGGGTTGAGGGTTGAGGCAGGTATGGGGCCGTCAGCCTGGGAGCAGGGCGCCCACCTTGTGGCTGCACTGCTTTGGAGGACCGGATTCAGGCTTGTCTGCGCTGGATGGGATGTGCACCTATGGGTGAAGGAAGCAGCTGCCAGTGGGGCCGGGTGGCGTGTCGACACGCACTGGGGCCGTCCCACCCCAGCCAGGCAGCCCTCACCTGGAGGACGACTCCCATGACAGGCAGGTTCAAGGTCTGCCCCGGCACAGGGGCCGGCCACTGGTCAATCTCATTGCAGACTGTGAACACAGGTGGCCAGCGTCAGAAGCCTGTCCTGGAGGAAGCTGCCCGCCGGAGCCACCAGGAGCTACAGCTGGGATGATGACGAGGCAGCTCTGGCAGCGCCTGCCGGCCACTCACCCGCTTCCAGGCAGGGTGCCAGCTTGTCGAAGTACTCGGGAGCAACCAGGCTCAGCAGCGCCTGGAACAGCCGGACGAAGGGCAGGCGGGACACCAGCACCAGAGACTGCAGGGCCCAGGGCTGGTGAGATGTCGCCCCAGCCCCTTGGGACCCTGCAGGGACCCCTGAGGCCCAGCTCATCCAGGGTCGCCCAGGGCAGGGTGTCCCACCGACTTCCCAGGAATGGCCTGACCTGGGACTCCAGGCTATTAGAAAACCCCAGGCCTTCAGAGGGAAATGCACGTGGGCCAGGATCGTGGGATGGTCTCCCCGGGGCTCAAGCAGCCTTTGCTTTTGGTGTCTGAATTCAAGACTGAAGTCGTCCTAATCTTGAAAGTGTGACGAGGGCCCCCCTCCTCCCTCAGCGAGGAGCAGGGAGGCCTGGGCTAGAGCCGGGGCTGGGCGAGGGAGGGGCAGCGGAGCCTGTTCTCCAGAGGCCGCCCTCGCCCCCAAGTGGCACGGTGGCCCCCGCCCAGGGCCAAGTGGCTAGGGCTGCCGAGGGGTGGGTGCTCCTGGAGGCTCAGGACCCCCACCCCCCAGACCATCAGCCTCTCCCGATGGCTGCTGGCCCCCAACTCTCAGTGGGGCTACCCCAGAGCAACCAGCTGCTCACCTTCTGGAAGTAGCCCCTCTTCACAGAGCTGTCCTTCACCTGCCTGAAGTACACGTAGCCAAAGTAGTGTGCGGGCTCCCTCTGGAAGGAGGGGTATCGGCCAGGCCACGCCCACTGCTCACCTCCCACCCGCCCCCTCGGACCCCCACGCAGGCTGCTGCGTGCTCTCCCCAGACCGGGATCTGCCTGGGAGTCACGGCCCCGGAAGGCAGGCAACTGCCCTCCAGGGACATCTCTGCAGACACAGTGGTGAGCGGTTCAGGGGCCCAAGAGCACCGGCCTCTGCACACCGAGCCACGCCCTGGTGCACACGTGGAGCACAGGAAAAGCCCCAAGGACCCTGGCAAGTCCTCAGAAGCGCTGGCCCACCCCCAGTCGAGGCTGGGGTGCCGGGCCTGGCCTGCAGCAGTTGGAGACCCTGCTGGCTGGGGCTGGCCAGGCGCCTTGAAGGGCCGCTCACACCCGCCTGACCCTGGCCTGCAGGGGCAGGGGAGGAGCGCTGGAGAGGCAGCCCGGCTCACCTGCAGAGACACGGGGGCCCCACTGTCACAGTGCCTGTCATCCGTGTGCCAGGGGCGCCTCTGCCCTCCACACTGACGAATGCGGAAGCAGAACTGAGTATCCCCGAGGCAGCCTGGGGAAGAGGTGGTCCCCTCACGCTGTGTCCGGGTTGGGCTGGAGCCTCTCCTGCCAGCATGTGGGGCGGGGGGCCAGGGAGGGGGCGAAGCCCCTGCCGGGCTGCAAATGCCTCAGAAAAGCCCAGCCCTCCAGTTCTGTGTCTCCCGACAGAGGTCCCCGTGTCTAGATTCCTGCACCTAAGGGTTTAAACTCAGCACACAGAGAAGCACAGCCACAGCCCCGCAGCGCGTGCACTGTGGGCAAGCACAGGCCGGGGCTTGTGTGGCCCGGCGTAGCCTGCCCGGGGAGGAAAACCAGGCCGACCCGGACACCTGAGCCCTGGAGAAGCCGAGGCCAGGACCCAGCTCCTGGTGACCCCTCTGCTGGGGTGAAGGAGACCAGACCCCACTGCCCAGAGACACCTCTTTCCGCGGGAACCGGGGAAACCGGCTGCCGCGGCGTGGGGCTCTGGCTGTCTCCCTGGAGCGGGAAGGGGGACCGGTGCTTACAGGCTGTGCAGGCCTGGCCGCAGGGGCTCTTGGGCAGCCTCATCTCCCTCCTTCTTCTTCTCCCCACAGCCCCAGAGAGACACCCAGACCGGGGCGGGGCGGGGTGGCCTACCTGAGTGGGAGTCGGGAAAGGACAGGTAGCAGATGCTGCTTTTCTGAAACACAGGAAAGCCAGTGAGGGCCTGCTCCCTGGGTGAGGTCTGCTCCGGAGAGGGCTGGGACCCACCTCCTTGTCCGTGAGCTGGAAGTCGCTGGGGTACACCAGCTGCGGGGGACACAGAGTACTCAGTGACATGGGCTTGGCAGGCTTGGTGCTGGGCTGCAGGTGTGTCCCCCCCACCCCAGCACTGTCAGACCCTCTGGCTCTCCCCCACCTCTGGCTCCCTGCTGACCCCTCCTCCTCTCTTCAGGGCTCCAGCGCCCTGCCCTGCCTCCCCAGGCCCCTCTCGGCCCGAGGCCACTCCTGGCCCCCATCCTTCCCTTTTCTCGGCCAGCGCACAACTGGGTGAGCTCCTGGACTCCCTTCTCACACCCCTCGCCCTCAAGGCCACTCGCCCAGACTGGGCCTCCCTGCCCCACGTCCCGACAGTCTGTCCCCAAAGCCTCCTCTCTCGCCTAGAGCGGATGCAGGGCCCTGCCTCCTGGCCCCCACCTCCTGTACCCTCTCAGCGCTCCGAACCCAACCCCACCCAGCCAGAGGGTCTTAGGCTCTGCGGCTCCTCTGGGCCTGCTCTCCCAGACGGCCTGGCTAGCCTCCCCATCCCGTCTTAACGCAGATGTTGCCTGACACTGGCACCCCTGCCTCTGAGCATCTTCACTCCAACCCCTGCTAGTCAGGGGTCCGGGAGCTTCTGGCCTGCTCCCCGCTTGGAATGTGACCCCTGGAGCACCCAGGCCCCTGGAGTGTATGGTGAGCGTGACCAGCTGGACAGGCTCTACCTGGGAGACAGGCCACACTCTAGGGGAGCCAGTAGCCCTGTACGCAGGCAAATGGCCAGAATGGATTTCTTTGCAGGAAAGGAAAAAGGCAGGGAACCTCCAGAGTCCTCACTCCCTGCAGGCCCCCAAGTGTCTCCTGGGGACCTGGTGCGCCTTGGGCATCACTGCTGCCCTGGCCCGTGCTCAGCTGCAGCAGGACGGCTCTCCCAGGAAGCGGCTATGCCGGGAGCCAGGAGCTGAGGGCCTGCATGCGTGGCCCCCTCCTTACTCTGTCGGCCAAACTCCCACGCGGAGGAGGACTTGGGTTCTGGCTGACATGAGGCTTCCTCTGCGGTGTGCCCTGAGCCCCCAGGTGGTAAGGTACTGTGCCCTGGGACTTGCACTGTTGTGATAATGTAGCTTCTGTCTTTGTTTGCTCTGGGCCTGCTGCTCTGGGCCTATTCCGTCTCCTCCGCTGCCACCAAGTGTCCTAAGGACAGGGACCGTGTCCCAGGTACTTCCCAGCCCCTGGCAGGGAGTAGACCCTCACCAGATACTGTACAGTCACACCTCGTTTATCACATTTGCTTTACTGTGCTTCAAGGATGTTGCATTGTTTACAAAATAAAGGTTTGTAGCAACCCTACAGGTGCCACTTTTCCAGCAACACTTGCTCACTTTGCATCTCTGCATCATATTCTCGTAATTTTCACAACATCTCAAACTTTTTCATTTTTATATTTGTTACAAGGTATCTACGTTGTTTTTTAAGATATAATGGTGTTTCTTGCATACTTAATAGACTCCAGTCTAGCGTAACCATAACTTTTTTTTTTTTTTTTAAAGTTTTATTTATTTATTTTATATTTATTTTTGGCAGTGTTGGGTCTTCGTTTCTGTGCGAGGGCTTTCTCCAGCTGCAGTGAGCGGGGGCCACTCTTCATCGCGGTGCACGGGCCTCTCACTGTCGTGGCCTCTCCCATTGCGGAGCACAGGCTCCAGACGTGCAGGCTCAGTAGTTGTGGCTCATGGGCCCAGCCCCTCTGCGGCATGTGGGATCTTCCCGGACCGGGGCACGAACCCATGTCCCCTGCATTGGCAGGCGGATTCTTAACCACTGCGCCACCAGGGAAGCCCGTAACCATAACTTTTATATGCGCTGGGAAACCAGCAAATCTGTGTGACTTGCTTTTCTGCAGTGCTCTGGAACCGAACCTGCAACATCTCCAAGGTGTGCCTGTATTTGTGGAGTGCGTGAAAACATGTCTCCAAAGAATAATGGAACAGGTGGGGCATGTGGAAATCTCAAGACGTCAGCTAAGGAGGCACCAAGAAGGAAGGGCCAAGAGGACGGAGGGGAGCCAGCCAAACAGTATTTGTCTGTGGGGTGGACCCACAGGGGTACCTCGAGATGGCTCCAAGAGAGGAGGGGCCGCAGGACCACTCGGGCCCCTGCGCGTCCTTGCTGGGAAGGGCAGAGGAAAGGCGGGTGCCTGGCAGCTGGCAGGGCCACGATGGGCCCTCGGAGCTGAGGTCAGGGGTCTGAATCTGGTCTGGAGCTGAGGTCAGGGGTCTGAATCTGGTCTGGAGCTGAGGTCAGGGGTCTGAATCTGGTCTGCAGTCACAGGAGTTTTGTAGCATCTGAGCAGGCTCCACAGCCATGCCCAGGGCTCCAAGTTCACTGTTCACAAGCTGGGAGCAGAGATGGAGGGACGGCCCTGCCTGACTGAGGAGAGGAATGGAGCGGACCCTCAGAGAGGGGCAGAGGGCGAGGGTCTGCCGCACGATGAACCCTGTCCCCTGGAACCGCAGGGGTCTTGTCCTTTCCACGGGAGCCAGTCTGCAGGGGCTGCAGCTCCTGTAACCAAGTCGCCCCTGAGGAAGACAGATGCAGCGAGCCTCGCCTTGCTGGAGAAGGTACGTCTAGGAAAGTGCTTCCTGAAGGGTGGTGTGGGTGCCCTAGGTTCCCAGAGGCCGAAGCTGCCTTTTTCACTCTCTTCTCACTGTGTGCAGTGTGGCTTCCAGAGGCTGTGACACAGGCCGTCAAGGGGAACTGACTGAAGCTGACGTGAAGATACAGCGGCCTTCTATTTGGCCTTTAAAAAGGGACGTAAAAGTGTCAAATAATGCCATTCTCCTCACTGAATTTGTTTCTGAAAATGGTTGTTTTTGTGGAAATATATATATTTTTAAAGTAAGTAAATAAATATTTATTTATTTTCGGCTGCGTTGGGTCTTTGTTGCTGTGCGTGGGCTCTCTAGTTGCGGCAAGTGGGGGCTACTCTTCGTTGCAGTGCACAGGCTTCTCATTGCGGTGGCTTCTCTCGTTTACACATGGTATCCGTTGTTTTTTAAAATGGATTAATAAGCATTTTTAATTTTTCTGTTTTAACTTCTAGTGTAGGAAACCTCGATAGATACGACGCACATAAAAAGCCCCTTGGGGCCCTCAGTACTTTTGAAGACTAAAAGGGTCCTGAGACTGGGCAGTGCAGAAGCTGCAGCTGGGAGGATGTGGACACCTGGGGGAGGAGGGACCCTCTGGGCCCCGGGCCGCAGTTCACTGCATGGGCTTCTCGGGTCAGCGGGGATACCAAGAGGAGAGTTTCCAAGGGCTGAGGCAGCAGAGCCAGGCCCTTTGCTCAGCTGATGTGCACAGCCTTGCCCACTCTCCCCTCATGTCTGATCCCTGCCTCGCCTGCAGGCTCCAGTGCACCCACGTGGGTGGGACCCCCTCAACATACCTATGCGCTCTAGGGGGTCCTTACCCCTTACTCTCTGTGTCTCTTGCACAGAACGTGAACTCCTGGTGGGCAGGGCCCTGTCATCGCATGCAGCTCTGTGTCCATGTGTCCAGCACCAGTACCGTGGGGCCTGGCTGGTGGCAGTTGCCCAATACTTGATTTATTGAATGAGTGAATGGTTGGCTCCTTGCCTTTGCTTTCGCTGGCTTTTTTGGGGGAGGGGTTACCTGAAACAGCCCCCTCTCCCCTGCCCGGCTGCCTCCTTCTCATCCTCCAAGATATGGCCAAACCCCCATTCCTTCCTCTGAGCTGTATCTGTCCACGGAGTCTCCGTGATCCATGAGCTCCTGGAAGGCAGTCCCTGGGTCTTCCATCATGTCCCAGTGCCAAGTACAGTGCCAGCCAGAGCCTCTGTGGTGCTCGGCCAGGCCAAGCCCGGAATAAGCGAGCGCAGGGCAGATGCTCCATGAGTGATTGTGGACGCAGCTGAAATGACCGCTGACCTTCCTCATGATTTCCAGGGGAGAGGAAGAAAGATAAGACGCAAACCTGATGAGCGTCGTGTGGTTGCACTGCCCGACTCCTGCACAGACTTGATGATTAGTAGGGGCCGTGGGTCCCCCCAACACTCCCTCCCTGAGCTATACAGCCTCAGGAAAGCTCAGAAGCCCAAGCACATGGAGCCTTTAACTAACAAGTTCTTGCCTGAATGGTTAAGTCCTAGAAAATTATACATGAGAATGCCTTAAGGAAACAGTAGACTCTCTTGTGATTTTATTGGGAACAATTTGGGCACCAGCAGGAATGTGGGCTCTGTGACGTTAGGCAAATCACCTCACCTCTCTGTGCTCAGGTCCCTGCGTCAAGTTAATTTGGTGCACCACGTGGGGACAGGTGTGGTGGAATGCGGTCTCCACAGCGAGCTGGGCAGTGTCCGCCCTTGCTGTTTGTTAGGACTTGGGCTTCCCACAGCCTCATGGAGTTCAGCAAGGCCTTGGAAAACACCCTCTCCCCCTGACGCTGGCTTTCCAACGATGGCTGCTCAGCCTCATCTCAACCAACTGCAGTCACGGATGCGCCACCTCCTGGGTTCTCAGAAAGTTTCTTCTGACAGCGTGCTGAAGCGTACCTCACAGCCTCCCCTGCCCTGGTCAGCTCCATGGTCTATGTCATGGCCTTCAGGGCCTGGAGAAGACCGTCCCCCCAGGCCTGCATTACTCCAGAAGGCCTTCCTCCCTGAGTCTGTCATGTTTTCATCTACACCCACGCGGGTGGGGGTAGGGAAGAGCCTTGCAGGTAGTGGGGACACCCCAGGCTGGGGGGGCTGGGGGCAGAGTCTGTGAACAGAAAGATGGCTCTTGGGTCTGGTTGTGACCCGCAAAGGGTCTGGATCAGACTCTAAGTGAACAAGGAGGTTTCCAAAGATTTAAGCAAGAGAGCCACAAATATTGGACTTGGGGGTACAGTAGCAGTGGTAATGAATCTGACAGCCCTGCTGTAGGTGGAGCTGTCAGCCTTGTTCCCGGATGGGATGTGGGGTGGAGGGAGGGGAGGAGTCAAGGGTGACCCCTGGGATTTTGGCTGGAGTAAATGAGGGGAGAAGGTATCATAGTGTGGGAAAGGCGGGGGAGAGGAAGGCAGAGGAGACAGCTTTTTACTGGGCGAAAAATCAAGAGTACCACTTTGGGTATCCGAAGTGCAGGGCTCTTCGCTCCTCCACCCCAAAGGGAGGTCTTGGCAACTTAACTTTTTTTCTTCTGCTTGGGAGCGCACCTTTCAGGAAGTGACAGGTGCAGGGTTTCTGAGGAGGAAGAGGCCACCTGGGGGGGTCTGTCTGCCCGAGGGTACCTCACCTGCGGAGGGATTCCCGCCGCCCCTCGGCGATGCCTGAGCCACACTAGCCGGCGGCGACAGAGCAGGACCCGCCCTCCCCGGCCTCCCCCCGGCCCGCTGCCCCCCTCACCTCCAGCGCCTGGCCCAGCTCCAGGTCGAAGGTGACCACACACACGCACTCCAGCCAGGCCGAGAAGCGTGCCCAGGGTGCCCCCGGAGCCCGCGCTCCGCAGGACGGCGCGCCGAGGCAGCCGCGAGCCCGGTGGGGCCCGGCGCCCGACACCTGGTCCATGGCCCCTGCTACTGAGAACGGCCGCGCGTTGCCGGGGGAACGGCCCGAGGCGTTGCCGGGGGAACGGACTGGAGGCGGTGGCCTGGGCGCGCCCGGACGGCTCCGCGGAGCAGTCGAGCGGCCGTCTCAGACCAGAATGGCCCGGACTCGGCCTCGCACGCCCCTGGCGGCCGGAGGACCGCCGTGCGGTGGAGCGGCGCGGAACCCACCAAAGAGAAGGGACCGCGCGGGCCAGAGCGGCCCCAAGCCTGGAGGAGGGACTTCCAGCGGGGCGTGTGAGCCCGGGGGAAGACGGGTTAAGGCGGGGTCGCGGTTCCCGGGGACACCGTGAGGACAGGCGAAGTAGAGACTGGCGGGTCCCTTACCCGGCCAGCTTTCCTAACCGGATTTCGTCGTTACGAGCTCCCATTCTACCAACTATCACACACAGATTCCAGCGATTCTGGGAGTCCCTCGAGTTTTCTCCTTTGGGTCGCCTCCGGGTATGGGGTCCTGCAGAGAGCTGTCACGTCCGGGGTTCGTGTCTGACCACTGGGGCATCTTTGTTTCCAATGACTGGTCGTCAGTGCGTGCAGACCCGCCCGCGCCAGTCCCCTCCTCGCCTCTTGCGTCCAGCGCTCTTCCAGATATTTCCGGGCCCCCTCTTGGGCTGCCTTGCACACTGTCCCAGACCTGTCTGTCGAAACCAGACACAGCGTATAACACACATAATTCGAGCCACCTGTGCCGTTTTATTTTCTGCTGCGGCGGCGAAGTGTGGCTGGGGGGGCGGGCAAGCCCCCCTCCCTCTTTGACGTCGCATCTGCCTCCAGCATTCCTCTTGGCAGAGTCAGGCCCCCCCCCTTCCCCCCCGAAATGGGGCCGCAGACCCCCCCCCCCCCCCCGCAGCATCACACAGCCGATCATGGAAGGGCGACTTTGGCGCTGAGACAATAACTTAACTGACACGCTATATATATTTTACTTTTTTTTTTTTTAAACTAAAGCTCCCTACTCCAAAGTTAGGCTAGGCTAGGCTAGGTTGGAGTAACAACCCTCAAGTCTTAAGCAGGTTTTTCACTGTGCATGGACTGGTGGGAGAGTCAGGTGGCTCTCCTTGACTTACCTCTGGAACACATGGCCTCCTAGGTCATTGGCAGTGGAAAAGGGTTTAATGGAGGCCTGCTAGCTATTAATTGCGTTGGCCGACAACTGATATCTACAGCACTTCTGCCTACAGTCCATGGGCCAAAATGAGTCAGAGAAGGCAATGCGATAAGGGAATAAGATAGAGAAACTGGTAGTTGCCACACTGCTGGCTTTGAAGATGGAGGAAGGGACCATGAACCAAGGAATGCAGGCAGCCTCCAGAAGCTAGAACAGGCAAGGAAACGATTCTCCCCTAGAGCCTCCAGAAGGAATGCAGTTCTGCTGACACCTTGATTTAAGCCCCGTAAGACTCATTTCAGATTTCTGACTTCCAGAACTGTAAGATAATAAGTGTGCATTGTTTTAAGCCATTAAGTTTGCGGTAATTGTGCTAATACATACAATATGCAGCCTATTCTGTCTGGTTTCTTGCACTTAGCATAATATATATATATATTTTTTTGCGGTACGCGGGCCTCTCACTGCTGCGGCCCCTCCCGTTGCGGAGCACAGGCTTCAGACGCGCAGGCTCAGTGGCCATGGCTCAGGGGCCCAGCCGCTCCGCGGCACGTGGGATCTTCCCGGACCGGGGCACGAACCCGTGTCCCCTGCATCGGCAGGCGGACTCTCAACCACTGCGCCACCAGGGAAGCCCATTAGCATAATATTTTTGAAGTTTATCCATGTTGTTGTATATAGCAGTAGTTTGTTCCTTTATATGAATAGTAGTTCATTGTCTGGATACGTGACATTTTCTTTAACCTTTCACAGTGGAATTATTTAAAGAAACCTCAGTTGAAGCTGGAGCCAGGACAGGTCGTTAGGGTGTTCTGTCATGCCCACCGTGCATCCGCAATTACCAGAAACAGGAAGACAGGTGCCTCTACTCTCTCTCCAACAGGAGGAAGAAACCCCTCCGGCCCAAGGACATCCCAGCCAATCAGAGACTGTCACAGCCCAAACAATAGGAAGCCTCCAGGCTCCTCCAGCGGCCTCTAGTTAACACAGTACCTCCCAACTGACCCCTTTTCCCTATAAAAGCAAACTCCCTTTTCCTGTTTTTTGGATTTACTTGTAGTCTGCCATAGTTTCCACATCATGAATTACAGTTCCTCTGCTATTCCTGAATAAACTTGCTTTTGCTGGTGAAACAACTGGCTATTATGTTATTAGAGTCAACACACCAATTGATGTTTGGAACGTTTCCAGTTTTTGCCTGTAATAATGCTGCTATGTACATTCCTGTACAAGTCTTTTTGTGGACACCTGTTTTAACTTCTCTTGGGTAAATACCTAGGAGTGAAAGTATTGGGCTGTATGTTCAGTTTATGTTTAACTCTATAAGAAACTGTCAAACTATTTTCCAAAGTGGCTTTACAATTTGACGTTACCACCAGCAATGTATGAAGGTTCCAGTTTTTCCACATCCTTACCAGCATTTGAGGTTGTCAGCCTTTTTAATTGTAGCCATCCAAGGGGTTGTGTAGTGACATGTGGGTTAATTTAGAATTTCCCTAATGATGACTGATGTTGAGCATCTTTTTTATTTTAATATTAATTATTCGGCTGCACCAGGTCTTAGTTGCAGTACGCAGGATCTTTGTTGTGGCATGTGGGCTCTTAGTTGTGGCATGCGGGCTCTTAGTTGCGGCATGCAAACTCTTAGTTGCGGCATGGCTGTGGGATCTAGTTCGCTGACCAGGGATCGAACCCAGGCCCCCGGCATTGGGAACGCAGAGTGTTAACCACTGGACCACCAGGGAAGTCCCTTGAGCATCTTTTCGTGTGCCCGTAAGTCATTTGTATTACCTTCTTTGGTGAAATGTTTATTTAAATCGTTTGCCTCTTTTTAAATTGGGTCATTTGTCTTATGAGTTGTAAGATTTTTTAAAAATATATATTCTAGAATCAAGTCCTTTATCAGACATACGATTTAAAATTTTTTCCTGGTTTGTGGCTTGTCTTCTATTTTTCTTAATGGCATCTTTTGAAGAGCAAAGGTTTTTTATTTTAATGAAGTCTAAGTTATGAATATTTTTCTTTTTGGTAGTATGTTTATGGCCTCATATCTATAGAGTCTTTTCCTAACCCAAATAATTTCTCCTATGTTTCTTCTAGAAGTATTTCACCTCTCAGATTTAGGGCTGTGATCCATTTTGAACTAATTTTGGTGTATGGTGTGAAGTAACGGTTTAACTTTTTTTTTTTTTGGAATGTGGATAACCAATTTTTCCAATATAATTTTTTAAAAAGAGATTGCTTGGGGGACTTCCCTGGTGGTGCAGTGGTTCAGATTCCATGCTCCCAATGCAGGGGGGCCTGGTTCGATCCCCAGTCAGGGAACTAGATCCCACATGCATGCCACAACTAAGAGTTCACGTGCCACAACTAAGGAGCCCGCCTGCCACAACTAAGACCCACTGCAACCAAATAAACAAATAAATAAATAATTTTTAAAAAATCATTGTAATTCAAAGACTATCTCTTTTTAAAAAAAAAAAGATATTGCTTGGGAGTTCCCTGGTGGCCTAGTGGTTAGGATTCCGGGCTTTCACTGCCACAGCCCGGGTTCAGTCCCTGGTCAGGGAAATGAGAATCCACAAGCCGTGCAGTGTGGTCAAAAAAAAAAAAAGATATTGCTTCCCTATTGAATTGACTTAGCACCTTTATAAAAAAAATCAATTGATCATATTTTTGCTACTCTGTTCTATTGATATATATGCCTATCCTTATGCCAATTCTACTCTGTCTTGATTATTCTAGATTTATAGTACATTTTGAATTCAAGAAGTGTGAGTCCTCTAATTTTCAAAACTGTTTTGGCTACCTCAATCCTTTGCATTTCTGTGTAAATTTTAGTGTTAGCTTGTCAGTTTCTATTAAAAAAAAACGACCATCTGCTGAAAAATTCACTGATAATGCACTGAATCTATTGATCAGGTTTGGGGAGAATTGCCATCTTGGCAATACTGAGTCTTTCTTTTTATTTTAAGGAACTTTTTAAAACTAAATTTATTTATTTATTTATTTTTGGATGAGTTGAGTCTTTGTTGCTGCGTGTGGGCTTTTCTCTAATTGCAGCGAGCGGGGGCTACTCTTCGTTGCGGTGCGCGGGCTTCTCATTGCAGTGGCTTCTCTTGTTGCGGAGCACGGGCTCTCGGCGTGCAGGTTTCAGTAGCTGTGGCTCGCGGGCTCTAGAGCACAGGCTCAGTAGTTATGGCGCACGGGCTTAGTTGCTCCGCGGCACGTGGGTTCTTCTCGGACCAGGGCTCAAGCCCGTGTCCCCTGCATTGGCAGGCGGATTCTTAACCACTGTACCACCAGGGAAGCCCAATATTGAGTCTTTTAATCCATGAACATAGCATGTCTCTCCATTTATTTAGGTCTTGTCTGATTTTTCTCAGCAGTGCTTTGTAGTTTTTATTGCAGGGGAGTTGCAAGATCACCCCCAGATTTGATGATTTGTGGGAGGGCTCATAGGACTCAGCATAGAGTCATTTTCATGGCCATGATTTATTACAGGAAAAGGATACAAGGTAAAATCAGCAAAGTGAAAAGGCTCATGCGGCTAAGTTTGGGGGAGACCAGGTGCCAGCTTCCACGGTCATCACGTAGTTACACAGGACAAACTTAATTGTCCCAGGGAGTTGTGACAATGGGTGTGAAATGTTGCCAACCAGGTAAGTTCATCAGAAACTCAGCACCCACGGTTTTATTGGGAACTTATGTTTATTTCCTAAGGCTGCTGTAACAAACTGATACAAACCTGGAGACTTCAAACAACAGAAATTTGTTCTCTCACAGTTCAGGAGGCCAGAAGCCTGAAATCAAGGTGTCTGCCTGGTTGGTTCCTCACGGAGGCTCCGAGGGACAATCTATTTCAGGCCTCTATGCTGCCTTCTGGTTGCTGCCAGCAGTCCTTGTAGGCTTATCACTCCAATTTCTGTCTCTATCTTTACATCGCTTTCTTCCCTGTGTCTTCTCTC